GAACGAGCGCTGGGGGGGGTGGGCGCGACAGGCACTGCAGGTCACGATAAGGGATGGCAGGCTGCGATACGGCTAGTCCCGACGGGGCCCCCACGCTGGGATCCCTGGAGCTCCCCTTCCCCGGTGCCCTGCTCTCGGCAGGGTTTTGGGGCTCCCCCTTGCCCGGGCCTTGCCCCGTGCCTGGGGCAGATGCACCCAGTTTTTACCTTCTTTTGCTCCTTTTTGGCCGTCTCGCCCTGCTCCAGGCAGGGTTTTGGGGCTCCCCCTTGCCCGGGCCTTGCCCCGTGCCTGGGGCAGATGCACCCAGTTTTTACCTTCTTTTGCTCCTTTTTGGCCGTCTCGGTTCCTGCCTCCCCCTGCGGGGCTGCGCTCAGTCATCTGCAGCATCGTGCTGAAGAAGTGAGGGTCTGCAGTTTGGGTTAAACCAGCGTGTCTGGAAACTGGGAAAAACGCACCAGCGCTGTGTGTGTGGCCAAGGCCGGGGCCATCCCCGTCCCCATCAAGGGCTCAGCAGCCCGCTGCGGCGGCGGCTGGCCTCGGGGAGGTGCTTGAGAACTTTAAAGGCCAGTAGAAACGGGTAATAATTTTGCTAGCAAAAAACATTCCAAGCAAAAAGCGTTCCAAGGGTGTGGATTTGGAAGTAAAATGATCTTCTAAGAACTGCTTTTTTTTGTGCCAAGCTGCAGATTGCGCAGAGTCCTGTGTTGGTTGAACTGAGAAAGAAACAAAGAATCGGCAGTAGCAGATGGTAAATAGCTGTCCCCTGTGCTCAGTTTCTGCTGATCCCAAATAGTCAGGGGCTGCTTTGTCTCCTTGAGCATCAGGACTCTTGGGAAGGCAGTTTAATGCTAAATGTTACTGTTGTGGGTGCTTTCCTTGCTCATGTGGTCTCACATGCTAGAGAGGAACGTTCAGGAGAGTGTTCTTGTCTGCCAGATAACCAGGTGTGTGGCTTCCTCCTCTCCCGACTCCTCCCTTGTTTACCTGCCCAGCTGTATGAATTCTTGCAGTAGGTACCACTCCGTATCTAGAAGGGAGGTGGATATCAGCTGTATCAGGAATGTGAGCTTGGCAGGTGGACGTAACTATTCTCTTGAAGTCTTGCCTTTTGCATTCAAAAGGTGTGGCATGTCTGCCATCATAACAAAACTGCAAATATCTGAACAGTTGTCACTGAAACAAAAGCTGTGGAAGGAGAAGAGAATCATTTTTCTTAAAATAGACAATTATGCGGAAGCCAGAAGGTATTCCACTTCAGCGTGATGAAAATGCCCCTCATTTTTTGTTGTGATTGAAGGAAACTCACACCCACTACAAAAAATGAAACAATCTGTGCGTGTCTTGTAATTATTAGGTATTATGAGCCTTGAGTTTATGCCTTGCAAACTCGTGGAGAAAGAGACATCAGAGCTGCAGTGTAACTCTCAGCCTGCGAAGACTGAGTTGAAACCGCTCGTCTTCTCTTTTTGGGGGGGCCCCCCCCCCCCCCGAGTGCTGTTAGGCTCTTTCCATCTGCTGACAGCCTCTAGATGGGTCAAGGGGGGCCCAGTGACAGGCCAAGTCAAGTGGTCCATGCTACCAGCACAGCCGGAGCTTCAATGGGCCTGCTGGAATCAGTGATGTCCCGGTGTGATTTGTCTCCAGCTGGTGCTGAGCTCATTGCTGGCTGTAGATCCCATTTTGGGGAGGCTGGAATGCAAACTGCCTGTTTAATGTGAAAGCAAAACCCTGTTAACAGACTAGTTATCCAAAATAATTGAGGTTTTGCTCTGATCTCTCTTTTTCTCTGGCACGTTGTAGCCTTTGAAACTTTGAGCCTTCTGTCACAAAGGCCCTGCAGGGCGCTGAGGCGGTTGTGGCATGAGCGGTGTGCAGTGGGTGGTCTCTGAGCCTTTCCAGCTTATGGCAGGTTTCAGAGACTGCATGGGGGATGACACCAGTGCTTGAAGGGAGCCTTTGCAATCCTGTGTTCCTCCCTGTTTCTCCCCACTTTCTACAGCTTGGTTGTTCTTCTTGTTGCAGTTACAGACAAATTCACAGAAAGCATGTATGTCCTGGCCAATGAGCCATCCGTGGCGCTGTACCGGCTCCAGGAGCACGTGAGGAGATCCCTTCCAGAGCTTGCACAGCACAAGGTGAGTCCTGCTTTGGTTTGGGCTCGGGAGCTGGGAGAGAGTCGGGCACGGGCTGCTTTCTTGACCTGGCAGGTCGTGCTGGTTTCGCCCGCCTCTGGTGGGAGGGAGGAAATCGCCCATCAGGGCACAGGCACCGTGGGCAGGGAAGCGAGGTGTGCTGTGGGTCCCACGATCCACCTGAGCTGGAGGAATGAGATAACTTTTCTCAGATCAGCTGGTGAATTTGCAAAGAACTGGAGAGTGTGACTGATCCTCCATGCTTTTGCCGCTGGACTTGAGCATAGAGACAAAGAGAAATGAGTAGTCTGTCTCGTATGGAGGGAGGAGGGAAGGAGGGAGATGTTAAATCTTATTACCCCTAGTTACGCTGCGAGGTTTTTATTTCCTACATAAAATGAGGAGGAGGGTGAGATGGGGAGTGTGAAGAAACAAGTGAAAAGAGCCCACAAGAGGCAAAGCAGGATAATGAATCGCATCTCACAGCTGTGTTCCTGCTTTCCTCCAGAGCTCGGAGCACAGGCACTTTAATGCCAGCCTTGTTGTCCTTCTCCCTTTCCTGCCAGTCGTGATTCATTAGGAGTGATGTCCCATGAATAGATTACTGCTTCATGTCTATGCTAATGCACTGTCAGGCCCCATTTTTCACCTTTGCTTTACAGCCCTAGTTTCCAAATTAACCTGGATCGTGACACTTTATTATTCAATTATTTATTAACATTTTATATATGTGTCTGTGTGCAATGGTAGGTACATGGAGAAGTATGTGTATGTATAGCACGTGCCGATACGATCGCATCACTGGGATACGGGAGTGAGGTTGTAATGTTATTCCTGAGCTGTCACTTGCTTTGATTTAATCAGAATAGTCCCAATTTCAGGGAACGTGTCCAGAACAAAAGGAAATTGAGCAAGTTGTATGACAAGTCATGCAGAGGGAAGAGATCCGTTTCCATCACGGAACAATTTGTAACAGGGATGGGGGCGAGGGGCAGCACAGAAGCGCTAATGGAAACGACAGTGCAGTGAATGCGCTGGACACAGAGCGTGTTGCTAGGCAGAGAGGTGTGTGCTGGGCAAGAGCTCTCAAAAAATCTGATTTTTCTCCTTTTTCCTGCTAGGCAGGCTTGTCTTTTCAGTTATTTGCAGTGCTTTGTGACCTCTCTGAGTCAGCTAAGTTCATTTCCTGGCTGCTGCCATTCCAGAGAATCCTCTTTTTTTAGCCAAAATTGCTGCTGCTTTTCGCTTTCCTCCTGTGAGAAAGGAGGTCATGTCTTCCTGTGGATTCCCGCAGCAAGTGAAAGGGCCCTGGGCATCCCTGTGTGCCTGCAGCCATCACGAGCATCAGATTGCCTTCCTGTTCAAGCCAGCCCCCACTGGGGCGGTGATTGCCTTCAAACACAAGAGCGAGCTCTCCCTGCAGAGGCAGCAGGTGTCAAGGTGAAGGTGAACTAGCTGTGCGGTGCTCTCTGCCCCAGGGCCGCAGCCAGCAGGGCACTGCCCCAGCGCTGCTCCGCTGGCTGTTCGCTCCTCTAGCGTTAGGAAGCATTTCCCAACGCTTGCTTTGAGTTTCCGTACCTGCTGCTGTTTAAGTCTGTTTCTTTTTGCCCAAACCGTTGGCACTTTCAGCTTCTTAAACTGTTTTTTGGTTCCTGTCTGTTTAACGGTGCCCTGATATGGCAAGAGCTGGGAGAAAATGGAAAGAAAACTATTAGTTGCAGCTGAAACAGTGGATCCAGAGCTGCTGCTAGTGACTTTTCTCCCAGCTTCATCATCTCCAAAGTTCGATTCAGCTCTTTCAAGGCTGCAGCATCGTGTTTGGGAGCATGCTCTCCTCCCTGCCGGGCCCTGGTGGTAATTGTGAGACTTAAACATAACTCAGCTAGGTGAGCGTCCTGACTGCACTGCCAGGCTGCTGATAACGAGAGCTTGTGGTCGGGTTATCTCTGTTGTCCTCGATTCCGCTCTCATTCTATCAGCTTCATGCATTGCTGTTTGCGATGAACAGGCTGGGCTTGTCAAGCTCTTGCACCCAGGCAGCCAAACCCCTGGGAGAGAGGGATGTTCCCTGGGGCCCTGCCAAAGCCATCGTTGCTGCAGAGTGTTCAATTAGATGGGGATGGATATTTTGGGTTGCTCTGCCAGAGCCCATCGGCTTTGTGGCAAGACACTGGAACAGGAGGGTGTCAGCGGGGCTGTGCACCGTGAAAGTGCTGTCAGATTTTATCTAGATCAGAACAAAGGCATTAAACAGAGGTGGCTTTAATTCTTCAGAACGGAAAAGAAGAAACAGGAATGTTCTGTGTGGATTCCCCCTCATGTAATTTAGTCCCAAGATGAAGGTGATGTATAAAAGGAAACAAGATTTATTGGTGGTTTCCAGCTTTCTTTGGCCCATGCAGCAACTCCATCTCTGGCTGGCAGAGTTCTACTGTGATGCAGTCTTTGAAATTCCCAGAGGGCTTAAACCTAGGAAAAACTGGGAGGGAGAGGGAGAAAAGTTTATGCAAGGAGAAGGTCACCTCCATGCCTTTACAACAAGCAACTTTCTTTCATTTGATTAAAAATAATCTTAATACCTTCCTTGCCATCTCAAACTCTCTAGGCAGATTTACCACATCACTGATAAGATACAGCGTGATGCAAGGCCCTGGCTGCCTCCGTGCGCCTTAGCGGTGCTGCTAAGCCCTGCTCCCACTCTGCACAAAGCAGCCTTTTTGTATTTCCCCTGTTCTTTTGAGAACTTATACCTCCCCATTAATTTACTGCAAGCAACAGTGATACATCATTAATGCTATTGTATATTAATAGTTGGCTTTAGCTATTAAATGACATCCAAGGACACGTCCTGGGAATTTAAAGAAAGGCCATCACAAAGAGATTAAGAAGTCAGGAGCTCTAGTCATGAAAATCCCAGGAAGTGGTGGAAATGCTGGGAATGGACATCACTGGCTCTGATACAGGATGATGATTAAAATCTACTGGTGCTCAGAAACTCCAGGACCAAAGAAAAAACACTGTTGTACCAGACTGGCTTTATCATCTCCACCACTTTTTCACAGGAACTTTGCAGCCATCTGTTTCCAGCTTTCCAGCTCTGTCTCTGTGCTCTCATCCTGTACTGGGCTTTGCAAGCTGACAATTGATGCTTTGAATTGTCCAGAGACTGCCTTGCTGCTGGCGGAAATGGTGCTGATAATCCATTAGCTGGGGTCTCCTTCCCTTTGTGGGTCGGATTCTCCTTTCACCAGAGTGGTAGGAGAGTGCTGCACTAGTGACGCACATGACTGAGTCAGTGTGATGCTGGGCTCTTAAACATCACTAGAGATTTGCTAGCACCTCTTGGAGAGAACAGGCTGAGTAGCTGCAGGAAGATCCTTACTTCTTTTGCAGCTACCTCTGCCAGCAAAGTATGTTTTCAGCAGCAGATACAGTGCTGTAAAATGTGACTGGACTCTGGGATGAGTGTGGACCATGGAGGACAGTGTGTGGAGCTGTGAGTCCTGGGTCAAAGGACCCTCTCCTGCAGAGAACTGTCCAGAGCGTTGCATGCAGAGACTTGGGTTTTTTTTTTTTGTAGTTTAGAGCTATGTGGTCAAGTGTCCTGATGTAGGACAGGCTTTGAACAGCAGAAAGGATTTTGGATGCAGCCCAAGCTCCTACCCGACCTCCTTCAGTCATAAAAAGAGGCCCTTGGATTTCCTCTGGCCTGTAACTAGAGTCAGCAGAATAGACTTGAGAATTAGCTCCCATGAGAACATATTTTAGAGTGCCTGAGCTACTTGAGGACTTTTTCAAAAGTCATCTATTGAGCTACACCTCTGAGTTCAACTACATTTTCGTTGCGACTTGTGCATTTGTTTGGTGTTCCCTTTCCATGGAGCTGCTGTGTACAATTATCTCCCAAGCCAGAATTAGCTGCTTGTAGTTCTGCTTGAGTCTGTGTGAAGTTTACAGGGCTCCTTCTAATCCCTTGAAAGAAAAGGCATTCTGAATGTTCTCATTATTGAATACTGGCTATTACTTGGGTTCAGACAGCCAGAGTTTCAGAGCAGACTGGAGGACGGGGAAACCTGTGACTGTGAAAATGCTTGAGAGAGAAAGAACTTTCAGCGCTGCAAAAGAAGCTGTTCTGCCTGGTTTTGCGTGAGACTGAGGACTGGACTTGCCAGGAGCTGCGTTAGTTCTGATCCTAGCTGCCTTGCCAGACCAGGCATGCTAGGCGAGCTGAAAGCTTTGAAATTTCCAGCTGGTTCCTTACACTCAGTTTAGCTGCTGGTTGCTAGGAGCCTGTCGTACCTTGGCTCTCAGCTGGCTCATGGGCACATCTACAACCAAGGGGAATTTTGCTAGAGCATCCAAAGCATTGGCCCGAAGCAGTAGCGCTTTCAGAAATATGCACAATGAATGTTTCTTTTAAATACTAGCGCATGGTGCTCAGACCCAGAGTGTGTCAAAGCCGTCAAGTGCAAAACAGTCTAAATGCAATTTCGAGTGAAAAGCAGTCACAGCCCTTGTTTGGGCAGGCCTGGCAAAGCGTATCTCAAGGGCTGCACTGCTGAGGACAGCATCTGTCTAGTGTGCCCCTAACAATGCCTTGTTCTCATTCCCTGTTCTGTGATCTGCTTTCAGTCCGACATGCAGAGCTGGGAGGAGCAAAGTCAAGGAGCGATCTACACTGTGGAGTACGCCTGCAGGTACAGGAGACCTTTCCAAGGAAGAGGGTTGTGCTTGTGGGCACAGGCTTTGCAAGTGTGATGTGAACAGCTTCTGCTGTGCTTCTGTTTCTCTCCCTGGCCAACACCAGGCAGGCAGCAGGGAGCGTGGTCAGGGTGGAAGTGCCTCAGTGTGAGGCAGTTCTCTGAACTGTTACCATGAAACTTGGCTGCTTCGCTTTGATTAGCAAGCCAGCTCTTCCCTGCTTTTGTGTCCAGTGCAGAGCTGCCAGTCTCCTGCAATAAATCAACCCACTAGCTGGGGTCTGAAGATGCAAAACACTGTATAAAGCTGAGGCTTCTTATTAACAGTACCCTCCTGTCAGCGTGTGTGTGCGCACTAAAAGAGCGATGCCCAGGAAAGTATTAACCAGTCCTCCTTCTCCCTCCATCCCCCTCTCTCTGTTTCAGTGCCATAAAGAACATGACCGACAGCAGCGTGTATTTCAAGAGCATTGACAGTCTGCTCAAACACGCCATAGCCATGAAGGATCAGCTGAACTCTGCTCAGGGCCGCAGGTAGCAAGGGATGTGCGACACTGACTTTCCGTTACTGCCCTACCTGTTTATCTGAATGACCGTTCTGGCTGACAGGCTTTGGTGATGTAATGCAGCCCAGTACAAATAAGCCAAACAGTTACCTCAGTAATGTGATTCCACGCTGCTATTTAAAGAGTATGCTGTTTGCCTTAGTGATTCTCTGGTTTTGTTTACCTTGGGAAGCAAATAATACTGTTTACAAAGAGATAAGTGCAAAATAATTTATGTCTTTATTTAAAAAGGGATTTTTTTTTCCTGTAATACGTTAGATGTTTGTCATGTCAAAGGCATTTGGAGTGTGATGATGTCACTGAGATGGAGCAGGTCAGAGGCTGCATTTGGTGCTGTTCTGTTATGTATGTGGCTCTTTGTGGGAAGAGTCCCAGAAAGATCTGGAGAGAGAAGTGGTGCTGACAGATGTAGCAGAAAGATGATGCATTTTCATATGTTTGCAGTGGAGCTACAGCTACTAAAACATCTTCTAGCAGATGGTCTGAGTCTAGTGTATTTGTCTCTCCTGAGAGCTTTCTTGGTATTGGAGTCTGACTGTGTGGGAGTGAGAAAATTCCAAATGCCCGTGCTCCTCGCTAGCAGTTTTGAATGTCCATCCCTGAAAAACCACCATGGAAAATGGGGTGTCTGTCTGTCTGTCTGTCTCTCTCTCTCTCTCTCTCTGCAGAATGACTTTGTTTTAGACACTCATGGTACAAGTTCCATGTTTTTCTAACTCCCCATGTGGCAGGGTCACGCTCAGTTCAGCCCAGCAGAGAATTCCTAGTTGTGCTTGCATGTGGTGTGGCTGTGAAGACTGCTCTCTTGACACCCACGGAGGCTGGCATATGCTGCTTTGCCGTCTGCACACCCATGGCTGTCCATAAGCCATGCTTGTCTAAGCTGCTCTCGTGCTGCAAGCAGTGAGATTTTATTTGAGGGAGCCCCTGGTTCTTCACGTTCCCATGGCTGCTGGTGTCCTTGCTGCCTGCTGGACGTGACTGTCTCTTTCTCTTTACAGTACTGTTGCCCAGCAAGCCAAGAATCCTCCAGCCAGCTCCTGATTTCAGACAAGACTGGCCATCCTCTGCCTTGTCCTCAGCCCAGCTGTGTGTCCTCCGACCACTTGGAGGAGGGAGAAACCTGCTCAATCTGTGAAACTGCACAGATGCCTCTGCCTGCCTCTCCATTTCAAATACCAAGGTGCTGTACCTGAGCAGGTAAATCCTGCCGCTGGGATCAGGCCTGCCTTTGGGGATGCTTTAGGGAGCAGCTCCGTCCTTCTCTGGAGCCCTTTGCAAAAGGGAGATGGGATTGTTCTGCATTTGTCCTTTCCTGTTCTTTTTTGATGGTGGTCTGTTATGAGGCATTTTTCTGTCTACCTCTTGGTTACAGAAACATCTCAGAAAAACTAGGTCTTGCTTTCAGTATTTTGTAGAGGACTATGTAAGAAAAAAAAAAAAAAAGACTTGAAGTAGGCACACTCCAGCCTTGTTCAGGAGGCATTCTGCAAGAAGAGTTTTTCATGTGTTTGCCAGAGAGTTGCTGAGTTTGGTTTTAGTGAGAACAATAATAAAAAGAAAAAACAAAGTCCTGTCTAAAGCTTTCCCCTCTTACTCGCTTGGGCTGGGTGGGGGGGATTCTGCATGTTTCAAAGGGCAGGGAGCAAAACAAAGACATGCATATTAGAGCTTTTCAAGAGAAAAAGAAACTGTCCTGCTCTTCTGAGAAGGGGGGGAAAAAAAAAAAGGTGGACTTTCTTCATCCCCTGTCAAGCAGTGGAAGCAAAGCTCTACACATAGCTTTGGAGATCACTTTAAAAGGGATGTAACTTCAATGTTAATCTTTCCTTGGAACCAACAACTCTGCTCTGTTGAAGAATTTAAGGATGCGATTTCCTTGGGCTGTGGAGGAAAGTGCAGAAGAGACCTTGAAATCATAGAAAGATGCTTAGTCTGGGCTCTCCAAAGCTCAGTAAATGAAACAAAGCGGTATTAGACCCAGTTCCCCCGAAAGTACTGTTTTGTAACCATGGATTGTGTTCAGGGTTACAGATGTAGTAACTTAGGAGGTTAGAGGGGATCTGTTTGGATCAGCGGCCTCCCTTCACTCCCTGAAATGCTTACAGATTGCTGAATGACCAGGAACTGTTGCCAGACTGGGATTGTGAGTCACCAGCAGTGTCACCTCAGAGCAGGCCTGCAGTAACAGAGTGAGTTAAACCTGCTTGTGTTTCACAAAAACAAGCACTGCCTTTAGTACTTGTGCTTTCTGGCAGGAGGGACTGGGGGCTCAGGGCAGAGGGCTGAGCACTTTTGGGTTTCAGTGGAGATGGTATCCTCTCAGTAAAAGGAGTGAAGAGCATCAGGCTGCAGCTGCACAGACTTGTCCTCCGTGGCTCTGCCCACTCTCTGAGCTCACCAGGCAGGTTAATGTAGCCAGACTTTGGGGAGAGAACCAAAGCCTCTTCCTCCATGCAGGAGGACAGAGGATGGAAAAGCAGTCATCCACCCTGTCTGATGATGCTCCTTAACGTGTGGGTTCTGGCATGACCTATGTTAAGCTCTAAATAGAAATGCAGATCTTGGCCCTGCTGCCTACAGCTGCCCTGTGATAAGCTGGGGCAAAATGGTCCTGCTTCCACTCACACCAGAGTTGAATCCTTCCCCGCAGCTCCAGGTTTCCGTGACAGTATATTCCTCATCTCCTGGGTGACGCTGTTCCAGGGCTTGCCCTGTGCCTGCAGCAGGCCTGACTCAGCTGAGAGCGTCCTGTGTGTTCGGGGCAGGTTGTAGCTCTCCTTCTCGGAGTGGGGCCCTGGGCTCCCTGAGGAGGTGAGGTTGCTGCTGGCTGCAGAGTCCATCTGGGACTTGCGCTCCAGAAAAGGAGGGAAGGAAAATTCTCGGTGGATCTCAGGCCGGGGCCGGGGTGCAACCACATTCTTATTGTTCGGGTCATTGACACATGCTTCACCACATCGGGCAGAGTCATTCTCATAGAGAGTATGAGAGACCTCAGAGTGGCTGCGACGTGAAACTTGGGAGGCCCTTACCAGTGCATGCGTCACTGTGATCAACAGGACAATGATGCCAGAGGAGAGAATGCAGGCACTGGCAATGCCAGCCTCGAGTTCAAACAGCAGCAGCATGTAGATGGCAAGAGCTGGAAGGAAGGGAGAGGGGTAATATAGCTTAGGGAAACTAGGACTAAAGTGACGCATCTGTCCTGCAAAATTCAGGCCAGAGAAATTGCCTAGCAAGGGCTGGTCATGAGGAACAGAAAGAGAAGATGTGGGCTGTTCTCAGTGTGAAGGCTTGTGCTGGGGAGCTCTTGTGCCTTGAAACTCCCTCCCCGCAGCCCACAGGACGTTCACGTCAATAAAGGCAACTCCCAAACCACCTCGCAGGTTTGCTTTGTCCCCCTTGCCACCTTCACCTTTGCGAATGCCAGCTGGTGCCAGGGCCCTCAGCCTTACAGCGATACCATGGTCAAGCTGAGTAACTCGGGCCTTTCTCCAGCCCAGCCACCTCTGTCAGCAGCCAGGCACTCACGCTTCGCGCTTGGGCCCTGAGTAGTATGATGTGCCCATTGGGCCATTAGCATTGGTATTATTTATCCACAGGTGAGCAGGAGCTGGGGTGAGACCAGAACCAAGCCAGGCTCCTATGGGGCTGCTGCTGAGCCCCTGTGCCTCGCTCGACCTTGCGGGACAGGGCTCTGTCTGCCTCGTGGCTGATAGACTTGCACCTTGCAGCCCAGCCAAGCGAGGGGCATTAGCAGAGCTGGAGTGAGCTGGTGACACCCTTTGCAAAACAAACCTGATCACAAGTAGAAACTCAGCAGCTCCCAAACACTTGGCAATGAGTGTGGGATGTGTGTCCCACAGTCTGTGACAACGCACAGTCCCTGTTGGGCCAAGCGTGGGCTGGGCTGGCAGGAAATGGGCACTTGCCTGTTAGATAGACCGAGACCCCACAGCAGAACAAGCCGATGGCAGTGTGGCGAACCATCCGGCTGTCCAGGAGGAACCAGTCTGCTCTGCAAAACAGGTGAGAAACATATTTTGCTGGCTGGCTCTGGTGGGCGAGACAGCTCGGGGTGGCCTCCTGGCCCTGGTCTCAGCGCTCAGAAGTGTGATGGCCTGGTTCCTGCTGCTAGGGAGTTCACAAGCCCAAGGATCTCTGCTCAATGGGGGATCCCCCCAGCTGCTGGTTTGCACACCTCTGGGGCAGTTGACTTTCTGTCCCGCTCTGGAATAGGAGCAGGCTTTAAGATCACTTGAATTTTGAAACCTTTCCTGCCTGGTTCTAGCTGTGTTTTGGAAACCAGATGGGGGCAGGGGCTGGAGAGAGGGAGCAGTGGCTTAGGGCTTTTTGCAGGTGATTATTGCAGGGGCTGAAGAGCAAGCAAGGAACAAATCAGAGGCAATCAGGCTCTCTCCCCTTTTAAGAAAAGAGTGGAAAGTAAAGTGCTGGTGCGCTGGATTAAGCAAGGTCAGGTTGTCTTTTCAGCTTTGGGATTGGATTTCTTTGCTCAGCTCAGATTCCAAGTCTTTTGTTCAGACGTGTTTTTGTGTTTGAATTGTGCATAAAACACATCAAAAGACCAGTCCCTTTCCAGCAGGGCCTTTGTCTTGTTTGCAGCACCGCAGCGCCTGGCTCGCGATGCCATGCTCTTTCTGCGGGCACCGTCTCTGCGCAGAGACTGGAAAGCGCCCGATGGCTCCGCTCATCCAGCTGCTTGAGCGCATTCCTGTCTTCAGAGCCAAATTGACCTGGCAAACCCCAGTGCTCGCCTCGCTGGGCTTCGGAGGCTGTTGTCACTGAAGGCTGCCTTTGCTAATTGGGAGAGCAGGATGTGGTCATTAGGGGATGCGACGCAGTGGGGACGGGGTGAAGGTCGCAGGAGCGATGCCAGGGGACCGCAGGTTGCAAACGAGCGCCCTGAGAGATGCTGGCGGGACTGTGACGCTGGGAAGCTGCAAGCTGTCCCTGGGAACGACTGCCCGCAGGGAGGCTGGGGATGCACGTAGCTTTGCTGATCCTGCCGGGCACCTCCAAAGGCCCCAGACAGTAACATGGAAGGGGGGAATGTTTGGAAACAACGGCCCAGGCAGCCGCACAGCCAGTCCTCCCGGCAGGACCGGCCCTTGCCTTGCTCCTCTGCAGTGGCCGGCTCCCTCCATCCCGTGGGATGGATCAAGTGGCTGAGCGATGCTGTCTCCCCCGGCCTCCACCCCTGCCTCCCAGGCTCGTTGCGGCT